GGGGGGGGAACCGTACCTCTTTCACCTCCCACTCGCCTCTGCCGAGCAGCTCCCGGCAGCTGTGGGGTGCAGCTGGACCTGCGGCGTCCTCGGGGTGCTGGTGACCCCCCCCAGCACTGGTCTGGTGCTCAGTGGGGCTTCAGCTTCCGCATCCGTCAGCGGCAACGCTGCTGTCTGGCACTCCTCGCGGGGCAGAGTTCTTTCCGTGGGTGACAACGGGTGGGGACTGGACCTTCGCTCCCCAGATTTGGCAGTGGGATGTGGCGGGGGGGGGTGCCTGCCCGCAGGCAGCTGCTGCTGTGTGTCGCCTGCCACCGTCCCGAGCCCGGTGACTTTGAGCTGTTGGGCGGGAGCCACCACCGAGCAAGCCCTGCGAGTGAGGCGGAGGCGGGGGGGGGGGCAAAAACACACACCAGCCTGGAGCACACCCCTGCCCCCCCCCAGCTGGGGGTGGGGGGGGCAGCAGTGACAGGTCTGTCCCCTCACCTTCTGCCCATCTCACAGCCTTTTCTTGGGCTGGGCTCAGCTATAGTGGAGGAAAAACAGGAAACTGAGGCATGAAGTAGGGAGGGGACTGCGGTTTGCCTTGATTTCCCTAGGGTGGGGGAAGTGGCAATGGGCCGCATCCTGAGACACGGTTCACACCGTCCAGCCAGACACCCGGGTCCCTTGGCTGGTCCCCAGGGACCCTGACAGGTGTGTCCCCTCCCAACCCCGAGTCTCTGCCACGTCCCCCCACTCCAGCGCCAGGCAGAGGATGTGGTGACAGTGGCATCGAAGTTCAAGCAGCGCTATGAGTGTCGGCTTCCACCTGCAGCCATCCGGCGCCAGCCCAACCCCGAGGAGGAAGCGCAGCTCTACAACGGCTCCGGCGTCGCAGAGCTCCTGCGCCCCATGGGAGCTGCCCCATGCCTCGTCAAGGTTGGGGGGGGGGGAACCACAGGGTGGGAAGCAGCGGGGTAGTCACCCCGTGGCATCCATCCTGATCCCGTGTTTTTCCCCATCTTTTCCAGACCAAGGACTGGTGGACGTACGAGTTCTGCTACGGGAAGCACATCCAGCAGTATCACATGGAAGGTGACGGCATGGGCGGGGATGGTGGCATGGGAGAGCCAGCAGGGGGGGAAGGGGCAGACCGTCCCCGATGTTGTCCCTCCCCCTGCTCAACACTTGTCTCTTGCCACAGAGTCGGAGATCAAAGGAGACATTCTCTTCCTCGGCTACTACCAGTCAGCGTTCGACTGGGACGACGAGACGGCCAAGGTGTGGGCTCCCCCCACCCCAGGGACACCACCGTCCCCTCGCCCAACCCTCTTACAAGACAGCAGGGAATCCCCGGGGGTCCCCATCCCCACTCCGCTCTTCCCCTCTGTCCCCCCAGGCCTCCAAGCAGCACCGGCTGAAGCGATACCACAGCCAGAGCTACGTCAACGGCTCCCGGTGCGACCTCACCGGCCGAGCCAGAGAGGCTGAAGTCCGGGTAAGACGACGGGGGGGTTGACGCAGGCGCGGTGACGCTCCTGTCCCCGTGGCGCTGGCAGCGGCTGATGGTTCTCACCCCAGTTCCTGTGCGAGGAGGGAGCCGGCGACTACATCGCCCGGGTGGATGAGCCCCAATCCTGCTCCTACGTCCTGACCGTCCACACCACCCGCATCTGCCACCACCCCTTCCTGCGCCCCCCGGCCGGCGCCGCACCGCAGCCCATCCTCTGCCAGCCGGCGCTCAGCCCGGCACAGTACGTCGAGTACGTCCGCGCCCAAGTCTGTGAGTATCAGGGAGACCCCCCCCGCCGGGTGGGCTGTGGGACCCCAGCACGGGGGTGACACGGGTCCCCTCTGTCCCTCCGTCCCTCCAGCTGACACCAAGCGGAAAGTGGAGGAGATCTCGGAGGAGCTCAAGACATTGGACACAAGGCTGTGGAGCGAGAGGGACGCCGAGACCCCCGCGCAGCCCCCCGAGGGCACACCGGTGGCCCACGGTGAAGGTACAGCACCTGTCCCCTGCTTGCCGCTGCGGTGAAGCGCGGCTCAGACAACCGCTGCGGGTGTTTGCCGGCTGGGGCGGCGTGCTCAGAGCTGCCCGGTGCCAGTTGTGCCCGTCCTCTCCTTCCATGCCAGCCGTGCCGGGGGACGAGCCGGACCCAGCCAAGGAGGCGGCTTTTTGGGAGCGGGTGCGTGAGGTGACCGAAAAGGCAGGCAGCCAGCAGGACAGCACCAGGGTGAGTCCCCAGCGCCCTCAGGGATGTCCTCGTGGCCACCAGCAAGGAGGAGCAGGGCCGGATGGGTGTCGTGTTAGAGGAGCAGTTTCGGGCTCCTGCTCCATCACCCCATCTCCTTCCCACAGGCAGAGGACCCATCCCCAAAGGCAACCAGCGGCCAGGCAGCTGGTGAGTCCCCAGGGGAGTGGCCAGCAGTGGCCACTCTGTGTCCCCCTGCATGCGCCGTGGGCCTTTGCCATCCCCATCCTTCCCGCCTGTCTGTTTTGGTGGTCGCCTTGTAGATACGAGGAAGAAAATCCATTTCAAAGTGATCAGGAGCCCTGGGGACCTGCTCCAGTTCATCGAGGAGCTGAAGGAGAGCACCAAGAAGGTGAGTGACTACCTGTGGCGGGGACAGGCCCCTCGGGCAGCTTCTCCATGCCTCAGTTTCCCCATCAGCACCAAGGGACATTCCTGAGAACCTTCCCTCTGCTTCCAGGCCAAGGAGAAGGCGAGTGAGGAGGAGGAGGAGGCAGCAGCAGTGGTAAAGGCTCCCCCAGACCCCCCTGTCCCTGAGGAGCCCCCAGCGGGCGAGAGGGAACGACTGGAAGAGGAAGAAGAGGATGAAGAGGAAGACGGGGACCTTCTGGGTGGCTTCGAGAAGGAGCTGGAGGCTGTTCTGCTGCCCCGGGAGCAGATGGCCCAGCTGAAGGAGGAGGTGAAGACCGAGATGGAGAAAGAGTTTGACAACATCATCAACGAGGTGGGTCACCACGCTAGGGACCCCCTGGCCTGGCTGGGGACCCCCCCTGACCCCCCCTCCCGTCACCCACAGGTGGAGGATGAGCTGGAGACGGAGGGGCTGAAGGGGGAGTTTGACCGTAACCAGGCCTCCAAATCCTTGGCTTCTACCCTCAACCGTCTCATGGACAAACTGGATGGAGGTGGCCCCAGCCCGGGGGGAGAGAAGGAGGAAGAGGAGGGGACCGGGAGGAAGGCCAGCCCCAGCCCACCCGCCGACGGACGCGTGCGGGTGCGGGTGAGCAGGATCGGACCCAGCAACACCCACCAGCGGGACCCCCCCCGGCGGGAGATGGCTCGGGATAACCCCCAACTCCACCACATCGAGAGCGAGGTCCGGGAGCTGCTGGCCAAGGAGGGGCTGCGGGCCGAAGGTAGGGGGTTTGGGGGGGGGG